CTGTATAGTATTGTTATTATTATTCACAACCCCAACTATAGTCAGTTTCAAAAAGATTAGCAATCCTGGCGATCGCCCGGGGAGTTTGCCGTCTTACCGTATGAGCGCTCGAGCGCTGCCTGGAAAAACACACTGTGAACTCGAAGAAATATTCCGCGCGAAAGCATGAAAAATGACAACTCACTGACGTCGGTACTCGTACATGTTCGTCTGGTTTACAACAAACGAGTTCTTCCTCGCATCAATATGGAGTCAGAGAGGACATGTCGAAAGTGTGATAAATTTTGAAGAGCGGGATGCGTCCGTTTTGTGACCAAATAGATTCTTTGAGCTGCCGCGGATGCAATTTACTCTCACGATGTGACGAAAACGGCATCGACACAGACTCATTCCCAAGGCCTTGAAAAGGCAAAGCTATCCGTGTGACTTCGACGACATTTTGAGAAAAGCAGACGCCTGCGAAAGCTGATAGAAGACGGCGTTGACTCCTAATTCAAATAAATTGGCGATCTTCAAATACTAAAATAATTCTCAAACAGAAATTGATCGATCGATGTGCGGGTGTATTCAACAACACGTAGCCACAGCGCAATGACTTCTGTGTTCACTCACACGGTTTCAGTGTTGTGTGTGTTCACAACTTCACGTGGCGTGAGCCAGTGAAGTGTCAGTCAGTTCGGCAGGAAACGTGAGCTCCAACAAGTCGTTTGGTGCAGCCACCTTCTTTGTCTTGTACCAGTGCAGCGTGATCACCAAAACAATGGAAAAATGAAGAAAAAATGTTTGACTTGAAGATTTGTTGAGATTTGAACTCACAACTGTTACTTCATGGTCAGCAGACAGCATTCATAACCACAAGGCCGAGAAGGAAGGGATAAATCGTGGGTTTTGATAACAAATCGATACTGGCTTCCAGGGCAAATTATAAACCATGGGAAAAGGCCAGAAACCTGGCCGAAATACTAACTCCTTAACAGTTGTCCCAATTGTTCTGAAACCTTCACAGAACAATTTGCCATGTCCTAACAAGCCGTTTTATGTACTTTATTGTCCAAATTTCCCTTATCTTCATACTTTTTAAGACCCAAACTTGATTGCTAATCTTTTTGAAACTGACTGTAGTAAAATAAATATGTGGACGAAAACAAACAGCTGCCGAGTAGGAGCTGCACTGGGCAGCAGTGATGGTGAGGTGCCAGGGGCTCTACTGACCAAAGGTTTCGGTTTCAATGCCACTAGCATGCATAGTGCTGTCCGGTAATCAGCAGCGACGGTGCCTACTGCCGACAGTCTGTTGCTGTTTCAAATCTTTATCCTCACGATAGCCATTGGCCAACAAAGAGATAAAAAGTGTGAAAGAGGAGAGATAGAGGGGAAGAATGAGGTGGGCAGGGATTCATGACTACTGAAGTGCACGAGCAGGGGTGGTCGCTACACGAGCATGCAGAGTTATGGAACAGTGGCAAGAGTACATGAAAACCAGAGTGTGCAGCTGGGATGGGTTGCTGTCACGGCGAAATTCCGTGATTACATCATTTTAGTGCTGCAGTGCGTACAAGCAGGATTCAAGCAGGTCTCATTCTGCACAACTGCAGCTCAGTTGTACGCACTACGCCATTTCCCGCCTCAGATCTGCGCCAAATGTGATGTAATCACGGAATTCCGCCGTGACACCCATAGTAGAAAAGGCCCCAAGCTGCACACTCTGGTTTTCATGCACTCTTAACAGTAGGGATCTCTGGCATTGGGGATTCTGTTGTGTTGCATACGGTATTTAAATGATCATAGAGTCAGATGCATTACATCATAGAGTCAGATGCATTACGTCATAGAATAAAATGCATTACGTCATACAGCCGGATGCATTGCATCATAGAGTAAGATGCATTACATCAGAGAGTAAGATTTGTTTCAGCGTATAGTCAGATACCCAACATAACAGAACAAATTAAAAAGAAATTCTGACAGCAAGTCACGACAAAGGTTTATTCAGAATATCACAACCGGCAGAATGATGTGTTCTTGCTGGTTGCATTAATCCTTGTGTAATCTTTTTTTGTCTGGGTGTCCGTGTGTGTATGTGTGTGTGTGGGGGGGGGGGGGGGGTGTTCACCCAGATATCGACGAATGTGCGGTTGACCTGTCACAGTCTCCGTGCGCTCTCCAGAACGCTGTGTGCACAAACAACGCTGGCAGTTATACATGCCCGTGTAAACCTGGTTTCCAGGGGCCGTACTGCAAAGGTACGTGTTGTTGCAAGGAGGTATGTATGTTGTTGCAAGGAGGTATGTGTGTTGTTGCAAGGAGGTACCGTATTTTTCGGAGTATAGTGCGCACCTTTGTATAACGCGCACCCCCAATCTTCATTGAGGGTGCGCACTTCAATCTTCATTGAAGTACATGCATTTCATATTCGGAGCATAGTGCGCACCTGCGATTTAGGGCCTAAAATAGCACATCTAAAGTGCGCACTATACTCCGGAAAAGACGGTATGTGTTGTTGTAAGGAGGCGTGTGGTGTTGTGAGGAGGCACGTGTTGTTTTGAGGAGGCACGTGTCGTGAGGATGTGTGTGTGTTGTTGCAAGGAGGTGTGTGTTGTTGTGAGGTATGTGTAGACACTAGCTGCTATACAATCAACAGCCTGTTGATCGGCAACATTTTGGCATCTCTGTGTTAATGTAATGGGAAAGTCGACTGCCAGAGCATTAATGTCTCTCTCTTAGACTTACTCCCTCACACTCCACTTTCTCTCTTTCACTCACTCTCTCTCTCCCTCTCTCTCACTCACACCCTATCTCTCTCCCTCTCTTAATCTTTCCCTCTCTTCCTCCTCCTCTCACTTACTCTCTCTCTCCCTCCGCCCATCCGGTTGTTCTCTTGCAGATATCAATGAATGTCTAAGCACACCATCAGTCTGTACCTCACCCAACTCTGACTGTGTCAACAGCGATGGCACCTTCTCTTGTCCTTGCAAATCTGGTTACCATGGCGACAACTGTGATGGTAAGCTACACCGCAGTGCAACAAAAAAGAAACCATGTGTGTGTCTGTGCATGTGTGTGTGTGTCTGTGCATGTGTGTGTGTGTGTGTCTGTGCATGTGTGTGTGTCTGTGCATGTGTGTGTGTGTGTCTGTGCATGTGTGTGTTTGTGTCTGTGCATGTGTGTGTGTGTGTGTGTGTGTGTCTGTGCATGTGTGTGTGTGTCTGTGCATGTGTGTGTGTGTCTGTGCACGTGTGTGTGTGTGTGTGTGTCTGTGCACGTGTGTGTGTGTGTCTGTGTGTGTCTGTGCATGTGTGTGTGTGTCTGTGCATGTGTGTGTGTGTCTGTGCATGTGTGTGTGTGTCTGTGCATGTGTGTGTGTGTCTGTGCATGTGTGTATGTGTGTCTGTGCATGTGTGTGTGTGTGTCTGTGCATGTGTGTGTGCGTCTGTGCATGTGTGTGTGTGTGTGTGTCTGTGCACGTGTGTGTGTGTGTCTGTGCACGTGTGTGTGTGTGTGTGTGTGTGTGTGTGTGTGTGTGTGCATGTGTGTGTGTTTGTGTGTGTGTGTGTGTGTGTGTGTGTGTGTGTGTGTGTGTGTGTACATGTATGTGTGTGTGTGTGTGTTTGTTTGTATGTGGGTGGGTGATCCCCGGTAGCCTAATCGGTAGGGCACCATTCCTGAAAGACAGGGGTGCTGGGTCCGAATCCCGCTCGTGCAGCCTTCTTTTACAACATTGGCGCCCCACGAGGGCCTCTAACCCAGGGCCTTGAGATTCAGAGTCTCCTTCTCTACCCACCAAGTACAATCTGGTGCATAGGAACTGGCGGTTCAGGGTCGTAGCCCAAACCATTATTATTTTCCACGCGGAGCTGCCTAAACAAAGCGGGGATGCCGTTGATTTGCAAACGTGCGGCTCAACCCACGAAGAATAGCCTGAGACACAAGTTCACAAGGGCGGGAACGTTTTTCGTTGGAACAACTTTTTTTCTTCATTTCCTTGTCTCTTTTTGTTTTCCACATATTTTCCAGTAGGACGGTGTTTACAGTAAAAAAAAAGTTTAAAAAAACAGTCTGAGAGTCATGGCAACTGAATTGAGCCAATCATCAGAACCGGCTGTGTATACTTGAGCCAATGGGTACATACGTATATCATGTGCATGGTAGAATTCTAGCGTGTTCGCTCTTCGGCCTTCAAGGCCTAACATGCGTTGCGGCTGAAATTTTCTTTTTCCAAGGCATGACGGCGACAAAATATTCACGCTGGGGAAAGTGCAGGCTGAGATTCTAGTGTGGCCAAAAAGTGGTGTCTAGCCCTCGGAGGTCGAGATTTAAACGCGCCGAAAATTCGTTGACCTACAGTGCATATTTCAATTAGTCACCAGCACTACACAAAAACCGTTAACGCTGCAAATTTTATTCAAAAGAAATGGAATCTCCAAATTTCGCCCTTGAGGCTTGATCAGGGAGTAAAATAATAATTCTGATCGTAATATGAATTGGCTGCAGTGGAGCCTCCGTGTTGTGAAAAACCTACAGCGCACATGTATAAGCCCAGTGCGCTGGGATCAGCAATGCACTGTTCAACACCCCGCACACGACCATGGAACATGAATGCACTGGTCAGCATTCCGGAACGACCGTGTCCAGGTGGCTTTGTGGGGTGTTGACGATACGAATTCTGTCATTGCGCAATGGGCTTTTTTCAGTGGCGTCACATGGCATGCTGTAGTGGTATGACCGGGGGTCGGGGGTCGCACGCTCCCCACGAGCGAAGAATTTGATTTTTCGGCCAACAGGGCACGTAGTAGCGTTCTACAGGCGCTCCGGGCGGACTAGCTAATCCCGGGCGGCGAGAACTGGTTCGGCCATGGGCGCACTGGTCGTCACGTGTATGACGTCCCTGTACTTCCCGGTGTGCTGTCTCTGTTTCAGACATTGATGAATGCTCGCCCGCATCACAGCCTCACCCGTGTCACGCCGACGCCGTCTGTTCAAACACGCGCGGATCGTATCAGTGCAACTGTTCTGCTGGCTACCAGGGCGACGGCCAATCATGTCGAGGTGAGCAGCGGGGACTGGGTGCACTGCAGCAGAGGTGTAGCTTCCACATCTGCAGTGTGGTCACCTTGTACCACCGGCAACTTCATAGTCGCCATTCTGTCTATTTTGACTAAGTTAGGATTGTAGAGTGCTGGCACCTGAAATCCGACCCCTGAGCGGTGCGCTGCGCTCACATCATATTTGAGCCGCGACACAACAAAAGGGTGCTTATGGCACGCGACATCAAACTGAGAAACACTCGTTGAAAGTTGAGTATGCAATAATGAGAGTGCACATTTTCTTTTTGAATTCGATTAGTTTCCTTGCGATTTATCAAGCTTTTTGAATGCGTTTTTTGCAACAGAAGCAGGGAGAATTCAGCCATTGCGCTGTATCCATAGCTCAGTTTTGAATTCTTTATTCTCACGATGGCACCATCGCCAATAAGAGATAAATTGATGAGAAGGTGAGATTGTGGGTTAAACAGTTGGAAAGTGATTTACATCACTTTGAACTTTACAAGTATGGGAGAGGAGTTTGTGAAATTGTTGCCATAAGCACCCTGTTGCCATGGTGCGGCTCAATTATTGCAAAGACCCAACACGGGATAGTAAAAACTAGGAAATAGAGACCGCTAGAATGTGAACACATCGCCAAGGGGTCGGATTTCAGTTTCCAGCACTGTGGTACACGTTTTACGGACTAACCGTTCAGCGGTGATGCTTTGGCGTGATGTTTGTGGACTAACTTCAGCGGTGATGCTTTAGCGTGATGTTTGTGGCTGTTGTCTGTTCCTGCAGATGTTGATGAATGTCAAGACAGTGATATTTGTGGACAGAACTCCGTATGTGCTAACAGCATTGGCAGTTACTCTTGTTCTTGTTCCGGCGCGGGGTACAGCAGCACTACTTCTGGAACCGACTGTAAAGGTTCGTCATGTTTGTGCGTGTGTGTGTGTGGGGGGGGGGGGGTGCGTGTGTGTGTGGGGGGGGGGGGGTGCGTGTGTGTGTGGGGTGGGGGGGGGGGGGTGCGTGTGTGTGTGGGGTGGGGGGGGGGGGTGCGTGTGTGTGTGGGGTGGGGGGGGGGGGGGGTGCGTGTGTGTGGGGGGGGGGGGTGCGTGTGTGGGGGGGGGGGTGCATATGTGTGTGTGTGTGGGGGGCGGGGGGTGCGTGTGTGTGATGGGGGGGGGGGGGGGTGCGTGTGTTTGTGGGGTGTGTGTGTGGGGGGGGGGGGGGTGCGTGTGTGTGTTAGGGGGGGGGGGGGTGCGTGTGTGTGTGTGGGGGGGGGGGTGCGTGTGTGTATATGGGGGGGGGGAGGTGAGGGAGAGGAGAAGGGTGTGCGTGTAAAGAATATCTCATGAGTACGAGGGTGATACCGGCGAATATCAATCCCGACTGCGAAGCAGAAGGGATTCATATGAGGGTACGGTATCACCCGAGCTACGAGGGTGATATTCTACTTATCACATATGACCGTACACACCATGTGTCTTATCCCATATGACCCTACACACCATGTGTACCGTACTTCACGCTCTTCCTTCTACACAACTACATTCCCACATCGCACTGTCTAATATAAAATAAACAGTAGAGTTTAGTTTGAACTTAGGTAAAGCATAGGGTAGGAAGGAAAAGTATAGAGGAGTGGAAATAGAAGACTGTTGATTGAAATGGAGTATTGCAAATTGTAAATGGAACACTGCATTGCAGAAACGATCCAACGAGCCAACTTCAGCGCAGTTCCTTCACATCGTTCACATGTATGTGAACGGCACCACTGAAGGTAGGCGAGGTAATCCGCATTTGTCTTCCAGTCACCGAGGTGCTTGTAGATCTTTTCTTTGTCGCTATTGGAGATGGGGGGGGGGGGGCTTGTGCTGCGTTGGTGCTACCAGGCCGTCTTTCTTTAACTGCTTTAGGTAGCCATCAGGTACTTGGTTAGCCTCGATAAACTCCCTATCAGTATAGAGCTTGATGGTGCGCTTCCGCTCTTGTAGTTCCCGGTGAATGGCACTCCGAAACTGCAGTAAGCTGTTCTTAGAATACGGCTGTTTGTTGACTTGACGGATTTCAACATAGGCATGCTTCAGGATAGATGCTAGATCAGTCGCTTGTATTGTTTTCAAGTCGCACGTTTTCTTGTTCTCCACAAACCAAGTGTCAACAACACGCATCCAGTTCTTAGTAGCTCGTTTGGTGTTTGCGGGAACACGACTTTCACGTATCCTATCCAGATCTGACGCAGACACTTGCACAAATCGCTTAGCTCTTTCTTCACTGCTGTGCTGTTCTGATGAAACGCGCTTTTCAGTAGTAGTCTTTTCCACTACCTCACCAGTTGCTAGCGTCGCAGTTGCTGTAGATGATCAAGAGAATCCTGACATGTTGGCTATTTCATCCGGAGATAAACAAGTTGAAGTAGTTGGAAGCAGCATCCAAAACTTCTGCATCTTCCAAGTCAATATCACTTGCACCCAAGTCAAAGCTAGCCGTCTTACAGGAAAGAATACCGAAAGTGACCAGACCCAGAAGTATTGTTGTTTACTATTAAACTTAGTCTAAATTCCAATGGACCACTTGCCATTTGTACAGATCCAGGAAATCCCGTAGAATCCCGTAGACCCGGAAGGGTGTTGAATGTGTGCTATGCATGCGCATTTGACCAATTTTCGCGTCATGATTCAATGACCAGCAATCGCTTTTCCAGCTTCTTCACTTTGGTTAGAACTAATGACTAGCTAGATCTTTGTCAGAAAAAGGTTTTCGCATGAAATGCCTTCAGGCCCCATTTCTTAGTGGAAATAGCAGAAAACACAATAGGGTCCTGCACATTCAACACCCTTCCGGGTCTACGGGATTTCGTAGATCAGTACAAATGGCAAGTGGTTCATTCCTCGAAAGTGTACTATATTGCATTCCATATTTAGCATTTGATTGCTCCTTCTAGCCCTATGTTTCAGGCTCTACTGAGCCTACCCGGTAGACCCCCCCCCCCCCCCCCCCCACCGCTTTCGCCAGCAAGGCCAAATGGGGGGGGGGGGGGGTAGGCGCGGCAGTAGGGCCTGTAGCGTAGGGCCTAGCAGGAACAATCAAATGCTAAATATGGAGTGCATTTATAGCACGATTTCGAGTATATGCGTACCAATTGGTACGATGTACGCAGCAGGGGTGATATAGAGCAGCAGGGGTGATATAGAGCAGCAGGGGTGATATGGGCTAGGCGGGGTGATATCGGCCTATATCACCCGCCTACGAAGGCCTCTGATTGGTTCAATCCATGGAAACCATCACCTGACATGTGATAAGCATGTGTGTGTGGGGGGGGGGCACACATGTGCGTGTCCGTGTGGATGTGTAGATGCGTCTGTGTGACCACAGGCATAGTAAAGAGTTGATGTGATGCATTGTTTGTATTTACTGATGTATTAATCCGTCCTCTACAGCACTATAGCATCTCACTAGACTGAAAAAAAGCCATCAAGTTGTCGTCGGGGGGGGGGGGGGGGTTATTCCCTCGCACGATAGCCCTTCCGATTACTCTCTTATTCGTACATCACACGTACGCCACACTCAGAGGACAGATTATCATTGTTGCTCCAAGGAGAGTCTCAGGAAGAAGGCACCCAAAACAACCAGAATGCGCACGATAAGCATGCAAGCATGCGCACAACAACAAGAACATGTACGATAATCTCCAACCGGCGCAGTCCGCGCGCGGTCCGCACCAACGTGCCAAAAGGGGCACACACGTGCCAAATGGGCAGGGACAACAAAGTTGTTTGAAGTTAAACTTACTAAATACTGTAAGACATGTCAAATTCAAAAAGAGGACCAAAAGTTTACAAGTTATCCGTTTTGTCCAACACTAACGGACAAAACGGATAACTTGTAAACTTTTGGTCCTCTTTTCGAATTTTAATCCTTGCCTCTCCATCTGAGTTTAACATGGAAATTTGAAGTTATAAATTTCGGTTTAATAAAATTAAGGTGTCAGGAACCTTGTGGGTTTCAGCAAGAGTAGATAAACAAGAGTGTGCAACTCGCGGATGGGTTGGCCCACGGCGGAATTTTTTGTTGACGTAATCTTTTCGACGACGCACGCGCTGCGAGTCCTTTGGAAAGTTTTCGCTCGTGCACTTGGCCGGGGTTTACACTACAAGGTCGGTGCCCGGCACGTGCTCTCACACTGCTCTGCGGCAAATGCGCGTTTCTCTGAGAAAAGGTGACGACAACAAAAAATTCCACCGTGGGCGGGGTATCTGCAGATTGTGCAGGAGAGATCCGGAGTTGCACACTCTTGTTTATCTACTCTTGGTTTCAGGTGTAACATAGAATTGGGTGACCAGCATTCCCATGCCATGTTAATAGGTGTAGTCAAGAGTACATAACCAAGAGTGTGCAACTCCTATCTTGAGCTGCGATGGGTTCACCCACGGAGGAATGTTTTTATTGCGTCGTTCTTTGGCAGAAGCATGACGAAGTGGGTGTGCTTTCCCGCGCTTGTTTTGTAGATACGGTGAGAGTTCGTCAGGTTCAAGACACATCGATATGTCGTCCGTTGTTCTGCTTCGACTACCGTAGCTGTGATGTACAAATTATTTGTACTTTGATCTCTGGCTACGCATGATGGCATCAGTGAGCCAAACAGCGGCCAAAGACTGATGTCATAAAAAAATTCCGCCGTGGGCTGGGGGATCGTCGAGTTGCACACTCTTGGTTATGTACTCTTGCTGTAATCTAAATTTAGGTGCCTGTTTTTGCTACCGAAATCACCGAAATTAAAGTTACACCTAAAATAACCTGTTTAACAGTACAACCCGATCTTAATATTTAAGAAACTTCACTTCTGAACTCCAAACTCCAAAAACGGTCTCTTCACTGCGATTCAAATTTACATTACACCAAATGTCCGGGCCTGGCCCATTATTAGGGTAATGGATTATCGGTCCAATCTTTATATCGAATTCATTAAGAGGAAAAACAGTATAGAGATGAATGTGTGTGTGTGTGTGCGTATGTGTGTGCGTGTGTCTGTGTGTCTGTATGTGTGTGAATATGTGCATGTGTGTACGTTTGTGTGTGTTCCCGCAGATATCGATGAGTGTGTGTCTGGCGTACACCAATGTGAATCCACGACTCGTAACTGCTCCAACGTGATTGGCTCATACAAGTGTCCGTGTAACTCTGGTTATAGTTCTCTGGTCAGCAAGGATCCCATTCATGACCAATGTGTAGGTAAGTCTAGCTTACAGCTGGCTGGATCCCATATTTGGGGGCAGCATACGTGCAAAAGGTGCTTAGGTGCACTTGACTGAAATGGAGGGAACGCATTTGAAGTCTGAACTTGCCATCGTTTGTGGCTAAAGACCGCGCATAAAATCCATCACCGCGTGATTTTTGATGGATTTCCATTTGGCACGAGGGAAGCGTGGATGCAGCGAATGGGATTTTCCGGTCTTTAGCTACTTTGTGGTGAGTCTGATCTACTCACCTTTTTTTCTTCTTTTTTTCTTTGACAAGACAACCACAAACAATCATGGTGCAAACTCCGGCAAAAACGCACAGAGATGCACATAGCGATGGCAGCCGAAGCAGTGGAGGCGAGGCAAGAGCAGCTAAACCGACCAGGGGTCACCGCTTCAGCAGCTGCATTTGTGCCTTAATCCTTGTGGGGTTGTAGCGTTCCTACTGTTTGCAGAAAACTCTCATAGGTCCATTGCCGGTGACTCCCGGCGCGTACCGGCGATGTGTTGATCAACCCTACTGTGTAAATGGCTGCTATGGAGCCTGCGAGTGCTTAGAAAAGTTTGTCTTTTTTTTAAATTCTTTATTCTCACGATGGCACCATCGCCAATAAGAGATAAATATATGAGAAGGTGAGATGGTAGGTTAAACAGTTGGAAAGAATTTTACATCACTTTGAACTTTACAAGTATGGGAGAGGGTGAGCGTTGCAGGAGCAGATTGAGTTAATCAGCAGTGAGCAGATTTCTTGTTTCAAAGCAGGTCGGGAGGAGACGTCACGAATGCTAGCAGGGAGGGCATTGTAGTCACATGATTCTAGGGACTTGTACAGTGGGGAGTCTTTACAGCGATCGGTTCTGGAGGGTTGTTTTTTGTTGTTGTTGTTGTTGTTGTAGATGTAAATGAATGTACACTGGCCCAGGCACCAGCGTGTCATGAGCATGGCCACTGTGTGAACCAGGCAGGCAGCTATCAGTGTGTGTGCAATCAGGGACACTATGGCGATGGACTCAACGCCTGCCTCGGTGCGTTATATGTGTGTGTGTGTGTGTGTGTGTGTGTGTGTGTGTGTGTGTGTGTGTGTGTGTGTGTGTGTGTGTGTGTGTGTGTGTGTGTGTGTGTGTGTGTGTGTGTGTGTGTGTGTGTGTGTGTGTGTGTGTGTGTGTGTGTGTGTGTGTGTGTGTGTGTGTGTGTGTGTGTGTGTGTGTGTGTGTGTGTGTGTGTGTGTGTGTGTGTGTGTGTGTGTGTGTGTGTGTGTGTGTGTGTGTGTGTGTGTGTGTGTGTGTGTGTGTGTGTGTGTGTGTGTGTGTGTGTGTGTGTGTGTGTGTGTGTGTGTGTGTGTGTGTGTGTGTGTGTGTGTGTGTGTGTGTGTGTGTGTGTGTGTGTGTGTGTGTGTGTGTGTGTGTGTGTGTGTGTGTGTGTGTGTGTATTCATCCGCACATGTGCAAGCACGCTCGTGCATACACACACACACACGCACACATAATCACACGTGCACACACACGTGCACACACACACACACATACTGCGGTTTGGAATTCTCTCAACTCGAAATCAGAACACATGCGCAAGGGATGTCGATGGTTCTAGAACCGCAATCATCAACGTAATTCGATCCATATACCACTGGAGGTCACACACCCTGCCAACACACTGACACATGATTGACTCACGACTCCCATTTTTTCAGCGGCATTTTGTATCGCTATCCTGCACTATGACATTCCGCTAGCTGTCTCTTGTCTCTCGTGTGCGCATGTGTGGTGTGGGCATACGCTACTTGTGAGTCTTAAGCATCCTGTCTTTTCAGTCTTCTTGTTCATCCCGTGGGAGTTGTTGTCCCTGTTTTCCCGTCACGTCCTAGCTCGAATATTATAATAATGTAAACAAACGGATACTTGTCCTTTGTGTCCTGCTTCACGGGGCACAGAATGGCTGTGATTCCGTACAGCATGCACTCTCAGAGGTGGAGCTGGTCACCCTTTCAGGGGGGGGGGGGAGGGGGGGGGAGGGGGGGTGCACGGCTGCATATGTGTATGTGTAGGATGGCTGGTGCATGTCATTCATGGTCATTATGTGCATGCTGAACCTAGGTCGAATCTTAGGGGGGGGGGGGGTGGAAGTGCCCCCGTGCCCCATGCAAGCCACTCGCCCGACTCTTGAAGCCCTCCAAGCAAACTGTGGTTCCAAATTCCGTTTGTCTTTCCCTGTTAGATGTGGATGAATGTGGGACAGACCCAGCGCCAAACTGTGCTAACGGCCATTGCAGTAATGTGTTTGGTCACTACGTGTGTGCGTGTGATATCGGCTATGCTAACATTGTCGATAACCAGACCTGCTCAGGTAAGGGTACACGAGAGAAGTTTGAGAGAGAGAGAATTTGTGTGTGTTTGTGTGTGTGGGGGGGGGGGGGGCTGTGCGTATGTGTCTGCGTGCGTGTGTGTGTATGCGTCTGTTTGTGTTTGATTCTGCGCGTGTGTGTGTGTGTGTGTGTCTGTTTGTGTATGATCACGTGCCTACATACGTGCCTGTATGCATGTGCATGTGTGATGACTCTGTCTCTGTCTCTCTCTCCTATACAGATGTGAACGAGTGCTCGTCTGCGTCACCACCCGACTGTGCACACGGCAAATGCAGTAACATGAAGGGCAGCTACCAGTGCCACTGTAACTCAGGCTATACTAACACCTCTGCTAGCAACACTCTCTGCTCTGGTTGGTACTGCCCGGTTTCTGCCTGCTAATGTTTATGTTGTCAGCTAAAAGTGACCAATACTGTAGAATGACTAATCTTAGCAGGTAAAACTTACAAACTCTCCTATCCAGACAGTCTCAGACCACCGAAACTTGGAAAAAAAACTTGCAACTCTTAACCGTGTACATTTTCAGGCGCGTACCCAGGGTCGGCGGGAGGGGGGTTACATGGAGTCCGTTGCAGTAAATAGCTACGTCACGTAGACCAACTCTCGCACGCGTCGCCGCGTGTTTCAGCGCACACGCAGTTTATGAAGACGTCAAATGGTCCTAGAATCTGCGACTTGACGACTTGGTGACAGCAAGGCGCGAGGCCCACGCGCAGCGCAGGGCAACAAAAGACGAAAAAAC